AGATAGTCGCAGTTTCAAAGAACAAAATTTGTAAAACAAGAAAGTTCACAAAACAGGCATATTTTGCAGAAACATGCGCTGGAAGACGTCTTCCACTCCTCCCTGTCCCAAGTGTCAGTTTTACTCTGTTATCTACCCGGCTAATGCTCTTTATTGAATAATCCTGAGTGTGAGATAGATTTGTCGAAAAGCCAAAGACTCGCTCTATTAAACTTACGTTATAGGAAGACTTTTTGACATGCTAACGACTGAAACTGCACATGTTTTAATGAATTTTGAAGCTTCGATAAAACCGTCAATTAAAAAGCATGAAAACTCTTTCACGGTTTTCCTCGTCACGCTTTTGTTTCCATTGTTTTCCTTTGATAAACTGTCAGTTCATGATTTTATTTCTACAGTTTTGAGCTTTACGATATTTTTTCATGATTTTAATTTCACAGTTCTTAAATTGACCGTTTTATTTTAGGGTTTTCCTTCGATGGTTCGAAAGTGGACGGTTTTGTTTCTATGGTTTTAACCTTTACGGTTTTACTTCCATAGTTTTTGTTTTATACTTTTGCATTTTACGATTTTCATACTGTAGTTTTTTACTTCATGGTTCTTCTATACGGTTTTCTTTCGATGGTTATGGTTTTTACGGTTTTTTTGACGGTTATTTTTTCACCGTGTAGTTGCTTGAAAATTATTAGAAATATAATAACTTTCGGGAGTGTCAACAAGAAGTTGATGGGACTTCCTAGAACTAGCAATAAAGTATTGAATAGACTCCTAGCAATTGCTCCGGAGTGTCATTTAGAAGCTATTGGCACTCCCATATAAAAAACTTTCCTAGAGCGTCAACGAGGACGTCATTCGATATATGAGTGTCTCAACGTTTGGGTGTTCCTTGAACTATACTTTGACTTACACGATTCGGATTTTATATTTGCTTTTTGACGGGCATCTCGCTCATCGGGGAGGGAGAAGGCAGATAGATAGCGAGAGTGAGTAAAACAGCTAAAAATCTTATAGAAAAAATTGGTATACAGGGTTGTAATAATATGAGAATTTCCAGTATTCAATGTCAAGTTGAACATTCAGTCGAACCATAGTTGCAGCAAGTAAGTGAGTTCAAGGAAGTTCACATAGGTGTACACGGGAGATATGTGTAGATTGGATTGCTAAAATATTACATAATTTTCTTATTGACAACCGTAAGTAGTGTCAATATAAATTTTCACCTATTATATTTTTAGCTGTTTCATTCACTCTCGCTATCCACCTCCCCTCTCCCTTCTCGATGAGCGAGATATCCGTCAAAACGCCGATATAAAATCCGAATCTTGCAAGTCAAAGTATAGTTCAAGGAACGCTCAGACGTCGGACCGCCCATATCTCAGATGACGTCCTCGTTGACACTCTCAGCTAAGTTCTACTTATGGGAGTGCCAATAGCTTCTCGTAGACACTCCCAAACAATTGCTGGGAGTGTCTCAATAGCTCCTAGTTGACACTCCATGAGATTGTCAGTAGGTTTTTGTTGGCACTCAAAAGTGTTGCGTCCGAAAGATGTACAGCGTACAATTCTGAACAATCTTTCCTATGGGATGAACATTTGTTGGTTCAACAACAGATGTTTCTCTCATACTGTTTCAAAAGTATTTTCAAGAATTTGTGGAAATAAAAAAGGATTTTTTGGTTATCTGTTATGATCGTGTTAGGAAAACCGATTAAAAACCGAAACCGGTGCATGCCTAAAAAGCACCTTTTAGTTTTGAATGAAAAGTATCGTTTTAAAAGGAACACTTTGTTGCGCCAAAATTTGCCTATTTTGAAGTAAAATTAAAAGATTCATAACCTACTCAAGATCCATCCAGAGTATATCAGAATATCAAGATGTACTCTTTATTATCTGCTCAACACTATGCAGTTCCCCAGGTGCTTTAAAAATCAACAGAAAACATATTGATTTTCGAAAAAGTTTTGTAGAAATCTTTCGAAGTACACGAATGTTTTTGCTATTCTCAAGTAGAGAAATCATTTTGAGCTGAACTAGTTTTCTAAAGATTTTCTAGAAAACCGGTCTTTCGAATGCTTTCGGAACATGGCTTTGCTTATGAAAACATAGACTAAGCTCTTCCGACTGCTAAATAGCCTCTCTCGTTAAGGTCTCTGTCTTTAACCATCTTTCAATTATTCAGAGAAACAACCACCGGCCTTATATTTTGGCCTGTATAATAACTGAGATATTAGTTAAGCTAATCAGTACTCATTGATACAGTAATTAGCTAAGATGATTCTATGTTTAATTTGTAGAGAATCTTTAGTTATATACGTGGTGAAAGTTTAGATGAGTTATACATAGTATTATCGTAGAAGAGCAATTATTTCTTGGAATTGATCCTCGTTCTCAAAAAGTATTGATTTTTTTTTTTACTAACAATAAAAATATCGGAGAACTGGTTCAAGGATTTCATACTCTCATATCAGTCACAACAGAAAAAAGTTTAAAAAAAAAATATCATCGGCGGAGGTATAGGTGGGAGATAGCACCTAACTTTTTCACTGAAAAGTTCGATTGGAAAAGTTAAAACCTCGATTTTCTTGATCAGTTCAATGAGCTGAATCGAATGACGTATAAATAAACCAAAAATAAAATGGTGCTCGAATTTCGAACCTTATTTTTTTAATGATTTTTACACATGTTCTAAAGGTGTTCGCTACGCGGAGTTGATTTATCACAGTTCGATTGTCTTCCAAAAAAAATAGCGATTTCACCTAAGTGCTCCAGTGCATGAAGTCCGATTGCTCCTGCATTTATCTAAGAAAACATTTTTCGCTGTGCGATCCATAAAAACGATGTGTACACTCACCCGAATCCGCAATTTACGGCCATGGGACATATGGTACTTACTTTCCCAATAGCTATTGTTTCTATTCTCTGCTTTAACAGTAAAAAGACAACTGAATGACCTCTTGCACGTATTAAAAGCTTAATTTATACTTTAAATTTTATTTTATTTTATTTTCACTGAATGATTTGTTTTGTTTTTTGGTGAAAAGTTCTGACAGATCATTAGTAAAATCCGGAAGGACCTTAACTTAGAGACATGAAAATTTCAGCACAAATATAACTTGGATCGGGCTAAAAAACAGTGCAAGTCCGGACTCTAGATCGTTTTATTATCAAGTTATAGATGCCGCTACCGCTACTATTTCACCATTTATTATCTCGTACTTAACCAGCTCAGTGAGGCTCAGCCTTTTAGGGTAGATATTCGAAGAGTGAAGTGATAAAACGGCAAAAGAAAAACTTTGGCCTTCCAAGAGGAACGCGAGATATTGAATTTTTAGTGAAATTTTGGCATCGGCGTCAGTGACTCAAACTATCTCATATTATAGAGCTCAGCAAGCTGAATCGAATGGTGAAAACCGCAAGTCTCTAGCCTGGTTAGGAAAAACGCTATAGCCATTTTATCCTCGCAGCGGGAAAATGCATCTTCGTGATTTTTCGGCGGCTTTTGCCGAACTTGGAGAACGTCTGCGGGCCACATTACCAAACGCAGAACCTTGAACTTGGGATCAAACGGAGGAGCGCGTCGAGTTCTATATATTTCGATGAAGAAAGCTTATGCTACAACTTGGGGTCTTGAGATAGAGATTTCCGAAAACCCAGTTTTCTAGAAAACCTAGTAATCTTAAAATTTCTTTCAGAAGTTTTTCAACCATATCATTGGATAGCCCCTTCAAATCTTCACAAAATGAGATGCTGCTCAAGTTTCTACAATCGTGGACGACCGAGTTCCAGGCTTTTTCACATTACGTAAATGCATTCCCTTTATTGCCATTTTCGAGTAGTGTCATATTTTCTATGGCACTTTTGACACAAGATCGTAGAAACTTGAGTAGCATCTCATTTTGTAGAGAGCACTAATTAAGCGACATCTCTGAAACAGTGAGAAATTCGTTCTATTTAATTACAAATCGTTTCGCATTCTGTGCAAATTCTCTCTTCTCAGTTTTTATCCCTGAAGAAGTGTGAAAACTGATATACTTAAATGAGACTTTTTAGTTCTATACAAGTATACATGAATAAAAAATAGTCTAAAAAACAATTTTTTTCTGTTGAATTAATAGTGTCTGTGATAACAATTTGGAGGAGGAGGATAATAACCTGGCCCTGGCTGGTAATATGCGGGTCCGCCACCAATTCGTCCGTCACGATTCAAGTCAATATGTGTCATCCTCTCGAGTTTACCAACTAGACCTATTAAAAAAGTAGGAAAAAATGTTTTTATCAAGTGCGTGAGATGTAACTTACATACCTCCGCCATGTGGTGGACGATAGCCACCAATAATTCCATCACGGTTCAAATCTACATGGGTGGCTTGCTCTATTCTTCCCACAATACCTTTAATATGAGAGAGAGAGAGAGAGAGAGAGAGAGAGAATGAGACTTGAATATTGGTATGAGATAGAGTTGAGACAACATACCGGGACCACCAATTCGGCCATCACCATTCAAATCGACACCCAATTTTTCTTCAAGTTTTCTTGTTATAAAGTCTAGTTAAAAATAATAAAGAAAATCTTTAAGACAAGGTAGTATTTTTTGAAAATTGTCTTCAGAATTGTTCTTTTCGATGTCACTGTTGTAGATAGGCGAAAATTTTTCGGTGATTTCATTAGTGACGAGTCCCAAAGTGTCTTCTCTGCCTACTAGTCCATTTGTTCCAAACTAATTGGTTTTTAATTTACACATGGACAAACAGAAGACTAGTCAAGAACGACGATGATCAGCGACCGGAGTCACTTTTTTGCACTCTGGCTAAAGTTGAAAGCGTTTTTAACGAGTTCGTGTATTTCTTTTTAGCTTGCATAAGTCATTTTTCTACATTACTTTGTAAAGTTAAGCTCCGATCTCATATTCATACATCTACGTAGGATCCTTTGGAATGAATTTTTTGAAAAATTAGTATAGCAAGAATATCCGAGATTGTGGTAAGTATTTTTAAATGCATTTAGGAAGAAATTTTAAACCCTTAAAAGTTAGTTTTGGCCGACTCAACGTGATTTTTAATCTCTAAAACTTTGACCTCTTGGCAGAGAAATTCCTTTCCCCTTCTGAAAATTAGAGTGAGTGCGTAACTTGACATGCTCTTTAACTCGAAAGAAAATACTGCCTTTATTTTCAAAAATTTATGTTGGACGCAGAATTCATGATTCGCATTAGACAAAATCTCAGAGAAAGCGAGTAATATCGAAAAAAATCGTCTCATACGCCAGAAAATATGCACTGAATTTGGCGGCAATGTTTCTTATTGCCAGCAGATTCCGAATATTTATACTCTTGTCAAGGAATTAGAAAAACATTATATTCCTACACAAAACATTCAGAAAACTTACTCATTTTATTCGTGTTTAACAAAATTTTCTGTATAAGCAAATGATAGTGTTTGTGTTATATTTATACTTTTTGTTTCATATGATTACTAATAGTAAACGATGGAAATATGACGAATAATAAGAGGAGGAAATACTTATGTCTTTTTTTTTTCTTTCTTTTCTTGTTAACATTTTTTTATTACTCATGTACCGACGTAGTAGAACAATCCTTAGTTCTTACAGTATAAGTATTATACACACATATTTGTATACACATATATTTGGGTTCTTTTTCTCCTTCTTTGTTTTAAAACATCATTTGTCATAACCGCCGACGTTCTTTTCTACTTATAGTACATTATTCGTTTGAGATGATAGAAATGATTTTTATTGTATCCTTGGTGGTGAAAGCCTAACTCATAATAATCTAAATAAATAGACTAACTCTGTTTTCATCAGGGACTTTTCATATCAAATAAGAAAAAAAAATTTAATATGTCAGAAATTGATCTCCTGTAGAGGTCAAAAGAAAATTACGGGTTCAAGTAATCTCATTTGTAAAATAATTTGCTATTCACAAGATATGGCTCGAAATTATTGTACCTAACTGCGTATATAGACTATGCACTTTGACGATTAACGCGGTGATATTTCTGATGCTTCATACAGTTGATGGTTTTGGCATTGAGAGCAACTTTTTTTCCCAGTTTTCCAGCTTATTTGAGGTGAAACTCTTTGTTCTACAGAACAAGATACTTTTAACCTCTACGCCTTTCTGGACAACAAAAAATGCAATTGAATTTTTTCAAAAGCAAACAATCTCAAAAACTTTGAAGTCGAGTCGACCATCTTGACAAAGATTCAAAAAATTCGTCTTTTCGAGGTATTCTTGTTTATTCCGTTCGATTAAATTAAAGTAACAAAACGGTATACTTCAAAAAAATTACTGAAGTGACTTCAAACACATAGAATTTCTGAGGTACACCGAATCGTTCCAAGCCGACTCATGAGGCGAATCAGAAATTCTATATGTTTTCTCGATCAAGGTGTATCTGCTAAGACCCGGGTTCTGGAAGCCGCCAAATGGCTTGTCCAGGGATAACGCTGTGACATTTTTGACACCTTTATTTTAACTAAAACTATAGGAGGTAGCAGGTTCGTTCTGTAAACATGAAATCACTGATTCAAGTCTTGAGCCTGCAGAAAAACTTTTCGGCTGGTAACACTGACAAAAAAAGGCGTTCATTTTTAAGTACATGTTACAAATTGCTAGTTTCCTTTGAATAGGCTTGGATGTATAAAGAGTGTCTAGAGAGAAGTTTGGAGAGGAACTGACGAGCTAACCGATGGTGAAAGAAGTTCCTTGCAAAACATTTGGATCGATTAAAAATGTCGTTTTATTAAGTAACGTTGTGACATTTTTGGTAACGCTAATACACCGGATGTTTAAACATGTTTTGCACTGCTTTAATTCATAGGAAAAACCATTACAGAACCGAAAATTCGATTGGGCCGCGTAGAGTAGCCTGTTGCAAACCAAATTATAAATATGTAATGGGACCATTGTCTCGATTTGTTCTGTATTTCATTGAAATAAAAAGTTTATATCAAAAAAGAGTTTCAATTTCAACTGACTAAGGAATTCGGACATCAACTAGTGGCGGCACGAATGGTTCCAAACTGAGCCATTTTAGATTAGAATTTCAAGTAGAACTGGATAAGAAAGGGATTTCAATGTGAACTGACAAACTGGACTAGGTGACAGGCATGGGCGAGTCGGAGTCCGGACTGGAAGTTTTTTTGGTGGACTCGGACAGGAGATTTTTTTGAAGGACTCGAACTTGAGTTTTTGTATTTCGAGTCCGATCTATTCAACTTTTAACACAAATGAGCAGAGAAAAATGAAAAGCGAAATAACAACACCTACTGTTTCACAGGAAATTGAAAATTTTGTTCGGGAGACGGACATGGAACGTACCCTTATTTTTGAAAAATCAAATATCTATCCATGGCTCAGCAAATTAAAATATAAACTACCTTCATCAAAACGAGTCTAAAAGATTACCGGACTCGAAATGGACTCGGGCTTGGTCCTCCCCCCCCCACGGACTCGCCCATGCCTGTTAGGTGAGTTTAGAATTTAAAGTCGTTCTATAGAAAGGGAGACAAGACAACAATCTGGCACCTCGAGAAAAAGAAAGAAGAAGGATCTCCGTTGTGATAAAGCAATTGTACTATAAAGTTGTCTTATGACATAATTTGAATCTTATGCTTGTACTATGCATCCAGATAGACGTACACAATACATAACAGAATGTACAATGCATGATCACATATTACAGGCAGTCAAATCCGATGAGTATAAAGCACTTGATACAAAATTTAAATATTGGGTAAAAGGAATTTTTTCATATAAGTCTTCACTACTTGTTTATATTTTGTTGAATAAACCATATTAACATTAGGACTGTCAGCTTTAACGTTAGTCAACGTTAATTTTCGTTTAACGTTAACGTATTTTACGTTAACGTTAATTTCAACGTTTAACGTTGGTCACTTTTAACGTTAATGTTAAAGAAAGTTAATGTTTAACGTTGTCAAAATGACATTTTTACATACGCTGAACACTCCTAGACGATTCTTCAGCTAGGTTATATATATGTGTTTAGGATAGAAGACAGGTTACTGTCAGTCAAGTTTTGTAAGTTTCTAGCCTATCAGTGATAGGCTATCACTTAGTTTTAATAGTTTAAAGGGAAATGTTTGTAGCACATTTTCTTTCTCTCTCTCTCTACTCTACTCTGTTCAAATATGAACAGATGAATCCTTACAACGACGAATTCTGCCGCACACAAGGTTTGAAGAGCAAGATACTTTTTCTATACACAAAGAGAAAGAGAAAAAGAAAGTTGTGAGACTGTAGTCTACAGTAGTTCCAGAGAAGGCTATGCGAATAAACTGAATCTATGTTACTCAATCTATTGTAGCTCCCTTATCACTTAAATCAGTCATCTCCTTATTTACAAACTTTAAGAACACATTCAGATCAGACGTTTAATTCTATTCTTATCCCTAATACTTTCTACAGACAAGAGTAGCATAATTAAACAAAATAAATCAGAGAACAAGAACAAAAGAAGAGATAGAGTTCTACTTTCACTGGTTCTACATTGTCACATCGTTTTCACTTGTTATCACTGTTGTGGTTCTGTTGTCGACTGATAAATGCTTTTTAGAAACATTGAA